ATCGAAGGTCAGGCTTATATATCATATGCTCGCACCCTAAATATTAATTTATGTTCTCTGGATACTCAATTAAAAGCCTTCTGGGAACAAGAAGAGCTCATAGAAACTAGAAATTTGACCCCTGAAGAAACAGCATGTGAAGAATTCTTTAAGAAAAATTGTACTCGTGGCTCCGATGGAAGATATACCGTTGCATTGCCTTTCAGGTCTCAAATTCTTGGAAAATCTGCCCCCGTATTCTCTCACACTGACTTTTGCGCTTTAAAACGGTTAAAACAGGTAGAAAGTAAATTTGTAAACAATTTAAATTTTGCCTCAGAATACAGAAAATTTATGGATGAGTATGAGTCGCTAGGACATATGAAACAAATTGGCCCATATCCTCAATCTATTCAACCCAATGGATTTTTTCTGCCTCATCACGGCGTGGTTCGTGAATCTAGTTCTACTACAAAATTGCGTGTAGTTTTTGATGGTAGCAGCAAGCGGCCTCCTTATAAATCATTGAATGATGAACTCTTTCCTGGCCCAGCGTTACAGAATGATTTACCAGCAATAATAAATAGATGGCGTCGATTTAAAATTGGGTTCAGATCCGATCTTGAGAAAATGTTCCGGCAAATTAAAGTTGTGGAAAATCAACAACATTTTCAACAAATATTATGGCGAAATAATAACTCTGAAATATGTGTCTATAAACTTCAAACTGTCACCTACGGTACTTCTTCTGCCCCATACCTCTCCATTCGAGTTTTGCATCAATTGACCCAAGATGAAAATAAATCTTACCCAGAAGCGAGTAAAATTCTTATGACCGATACCTATGTCGACGATATTATTTCTGGAGCTGACTCAGAGTCCGAAGCGATCTTTATACAAAAACAATTAGTAGAATTACTTTCTTCTGGTGGATTTAATTTGCGAAAATGGACTTCGAACTCTCTCGAACTTATGTCTCATATTCCAGAAGAATTTCGTGAAAAGGCAGACGTCTTTAGTCTAAACGAACCCAACATCGTTAAAGCTCTAGGATTGGGCTGGAATACTAATCAAGACTCATTTTCATTTGAAGTTTGCTTTCCAATTAAAGACAAAGTTACTAAGGCTGGTCTTTTATCCGATGCCGCGAAGTTGTATGACCCTCTTGGATGGCTTGCACCTGTTACGATCCAGGCGAAAATTTACTTTCAAAAACTATGGCTCGAAGGCATCGATTGGAATGATGAAGTTTCTCCCATAATGAAAGCTAATTGGAACTCATATCTAAGAAAGTTGAAATCGATAGAAAATATTTCCATACCCCGCTGGATTGGCAGTTATAAACAATGTATGGTGGAACTGCATGGTTTTTGTGACGCGTCTACGTCGGCCTACGCTGCTGCAGTTTACATAAAAGTTGTACAGAATAATGGAGAAGGAGTAGTAAACTTATTACAATCAAAAACTAAAGTTGCCCCATTAAAAGTCTTGTCTGTCCCAAAGCTGGAGTTGTGTGGAGCAACACTTTTAGCAAAACTTATGCATAAAGTTCATAAACTACTAGATCTCAACGTCGCAAACATATTCTATTGGACTGATAGCATTACCGTTTTATGCTGGCTCAGAGGCGAGTCGTCTAAATGGAATGTTTTTGTTGGAAATCGAGTGAGCGAAGTTCAACGACATTCAAATATTTCTCAATGGAGATATGTTTCAACTCACGATAACCCTGCTGACTGTGCTTCCCGTGGTATTTCGTCTGTTGAGTTAGAACAACATTCTCTCTGGTGGTCTGGTCCTCACTGGCTTTCTCAATCTCCATCGCTTTGGCCCAAACAGCCAGAAAATTCTTATGAAACCAATCTGGAAATGCGAAAATCCGCTCTGAATGTCAATTCTTCTACTATCTCCAACTATCCGGACATTTTAACTAAATACTCAAATCTAACTCGCTTGACTCGGATTATGGCCTATATACTGCGATTCCTTCAATATAAAGCTTCATCAAAGTTACGATTTTCTGGCTTCCTCAGAGCAGCTGAACTAAATAACGCACTTCAAAAAATTGTAATTATGTCTCAAGAGGTCGATTTTCCCGAGGAAATACAACAACTACAGAAAGGAAGAAGCATTCACCCTAGTAGCAGAATTGCCCAGCTGTGTCCCTTTATTGGCGATGATGGCGTACTTCGAGTTGGAGGACGACTAAACAAGGCTAAGTTTCAATATGATTTTAAATACCCAATGCTTTTGTCCAAAAATAGTCCCTTATCTATCTTAATCTTTACAGATGCTCATCACAAAACACTCCATGGCGGTCTCATCCAGATGCAAGCTTACGTGTCTCGAAAATTCTGGATCCTCTCTGCCCGCAACTTGGCAAAACGAGTACAACGCCAGTGTATCACCTGTTTCAAATACAAGGCCAAATCACTTCAACAAATTATGGGCAATCTTCCCTCTGTTCGGATACAACCCACAAGACCCTTCAAACATAGTGGTGTGGATTACGCAGGCCCAATAACCATCAAACAATCAACTGCTCGGAACTCAGTCACAACCAAAGGTTATATCTGCCTCTTTGTTTGTATGGTCACGAAAGCACTTCACCTCGAAGCTGTTACCAGTTTGTCTACAGACGCATTCATAGCTGCTTTCCGGAGATTTACTTCACGTCGTGGAATGTGCTCAGACCTTTACTCGGATTGTGGTACAAATTTTATTGGCTCAAACAAGGAGCTTAAAATTCTTCGCCGAAGAAGTATTGACTCCTTGCCAGAAGACCTCGTTAACCTTCTTACTAATAATGGCACAAATTGGCATTTTATACCACCAGCATCACCAAATTTCGGAGGACTGTGGGAAGCTGGTGTAAAATCCACGAAGCATCATTTAAAACGAATAATGGATCATCGGATTCTTACTTATGAAGAACTGTCTACGTTACTCGCTCAAATTGAAGGATGTCTCAACTCAAGGCCGCTTTGCCCAATGTCACCTGACCCTTCAGATTGCGAAGCATTAACTCCGTCACATTTTTTGGTTGGAGAGCCAATATTATCTGTCCCTGACGAAGACTTGTTAGATTGCTCCATAGACAGACTTTCCCGATGGAAAGTAGTTCAACTACTCAAGCAACAATTCTGGAAACGATGGTCAACGGAATATGTAAACCGACTTCAATCCCGTCCTAAATGGTTAAAGCCCCAAAAGAATGTTGAAGTTGATGATTTGGTCATTGTATTTGATGAACGCCTTCCTCCTGGCCAGTGGCCTCTGGCACGAATTACGGAAATTCATCCCGGCACTGATGGCAGAGTTAGAGTGGTATCTCTTAAATCAAATGGAAAAATCTACAAACGTCCTGTTTCGAAAATTGCTCAATTACCCCTTCAAGAAGATTTTACTTCCTGCAAAGAAAATGATGAGAGTTGCTGTGAGCCGAGGCATAGCACGGTTATCTCGGAAACCGAATAAAACACCTCAACTAATATTAACCAGATCAAGAACAGTTGTTCTTTGTGCGGGGGAATGTTGGAGAACTACTTATTATTTATTTATATTTTATTTATTAATTAATTATTAATTTGTTATTAATTTTATATTAATTTATAATTTTATGCCCTATTCATAATTTCCCCATAGTTAATTTCTAATTTGGCATCCCTAATTTTATTTCTAAATTGTCACGACTGACATCCCTACTTTGTTCTAATTCTAATTTTTGCCTATTCCCTTTTCTCTAACTAATTCAAGGTCAGAATTTGTCTCAACAGCAGTCGGTCGTTGATCTTTGTTTACATTCTGACTCCGTTACGTTGCTAATTGTTGTTGTTGTCGCTTGCATATTATATGCAAACGCATAAACAAACAACATTTCTAACAACGCAAGCAGAGTCATTATGTACAAAGGAAGATGTTACCTTGATGGCTACTGCTGTTGATCACTTGTTATTAGTATCGTTTTGTTTCTCTGCCTTGCTGCGTAAACTTTCGTGATGTTCAATTTTGTAATAACTTTCTGCCGCGCTGCATATTGCAAAATAGCTTAACTACACTTTATTTAAAATATTAAAATTAAATTATAGTTTTATTTAATAATATTAATTAAATGAATTGCCCAATCGGGAGCAAAATATTTGCAAATTATATTAAATTATAATTGTGTGTAAAATAAAGTTGCCCCAGTGACAATCAAATATTTGAAAGAAAACTTTTGTGTTTTTTTGCGCTGGCTCGAGGAGCCAATAAATACTCCTACATGTGTAGTTTTTATAGCTGTAGTGATTTATATTGCATGCGATAATTTTTCGAATCAATAGATAAAAATGGGGTTATTATCACTAGAAAGACGGGAATTTTGTATATACCTATATTGCCTAAAATCGGTCAAAATGACTTCGTTCTGAAAAATTTTTTATTGTGTAAAGAAATTTTTTTAAACTATTTTTTTAATATTTGTTACATTATTTACAATCATACAAAACGTTGTTATTATTTGTTTTCGGTGGTAGGGCTCTCGGGTTTCCCCTTTTGAAAAATAAGATCGCGGACAAAACGTTCGAAAAAAGAGGAAGACTTTACTCTAAGAGTGAAATCGACTGGAAATATAAAATTAATTTTTCCCGATTTGTGTGTTCGTATGTGTTTCTAGAGTAGCAAACGGGTTTCGATGTTGTTGTACCGATCTGGTCATATAAGAAATTTACTTTATACAGTAATAAAAGTAGTTTGATTATTTAATATTTCAAAAAGGTCAAAATGACCGCTTTTAGGCTATTTAGGTATAGCACATGTGAATACGGGGAATGAAAGAGGGGAGGAAGCAGCTACTATGATTAATAAACGTAGTTCTATGTGGTAGAAAAAGTCACCAAATTTTAAAAAGCTGAGTCATAATATACACAATTGTTTTTGTACTTGAAATTTAAAAACCGTCAAAATGACTGCTCTCGGCAATCTAGTGTTATATAAGTTTTGAAAAAATGGAATCGAATTTGATACGCATGGTGTTAAAATGTGAGAATAAAGTAAATATGTATCATATATACAAATTACATTCAGTACTTTGGAAAATTGTTGATTATTTAGATTGGTTTTTTGGTAAAATGTTGAAAACCACTTTAGATTTTTTAAGATTTTGAGGAGTCTGATTATGATCTTTTCACTTTCAGTTTTTCCAATAAAAGAATGAATTTACTTCCTTGATGAAACAATTGACTGGAGTTGGTTGCTACGAATTACGTACAAAATAGAATAAGAATTATAATATCGATTACGATTCATATCGTTGCCAGACAAAAAAAAATAATTTCCTTGCAGATTGCAAAAATTTATATTGTAAATACATGGTATAAATTACACCAATTAAAATATGTAGATTTTCAATTTATAATTAGAAATATTTTTTATATCCTATTTATTAAAATTTTGTACTTAGATGATCGTACGATACTGTCATCATTTTCTAGCCAAGACATTAACCATAAAATACTATTGTTAATATGTTATCAACGAACATATTTATGAATGGAATGCCATAGAGAGATAATAACAAAAACAATTCAAATTGGTGGATGCAGTGAAGAAAAAAACATTGTTTCATTTATTGACTTTGTTTCATTTATCATCGGAGATTATTTCAACCACAAAAAAAGAAAAATATAGAAAAAAACTAGTTTGCTCCGTGCTCTCTTTATGGTTTTGATAGGCAACTGACATATATTGGAATCAGGGTGCAAGGTGCGATGAGGAAGGTGATATGTCGGTCAAAGTTGGCGCATGAAGTGTTCTTTGGTTTACGAACCGAACAACGAAAGCAACAACAAAACCCAGATGATTATAAACCATATAATTTTTATGAATAACTAGCTGAACCCGTGGCGCTTCGCTGCCCCTACTTAAGTATTAGCATAGGGTAGTCCACGTAAATGCAATGTTTTTTAAAGAACCTACCAGTTGATGGAATTTACCCTTCTGCAAAACCTACTGCAGTACCCTTCATTCCCATTACCATCAACTTTTATTTCTGTATTTTCAGCAGTTTGCCCATAATATGGTTTGGATCCCTTTCTCGCTCCGATTAATATCACAAAGATCCTTGCTGCATAATCTTTGCTAGCTTGAAATTGTGTATCTTTGTTTTATTGCCAAAAAAGGGTTTCAAAAAGAATACATCATCACAACTTTATATTTTTACCGAACCTAGATTTATAATTGGACTTAACTGTAATTCCATGGTATTTTAAAGAAACTATAATCAATTCCGAAGATGGAGTGACAATTAAGTTACTCATAATCATTTCAAGTCAGCTGTGATGATAATCCACCAGAGATTTTTGAATCTTATAACTTTTTATCCAAAATCCGCCTTTTTGCATTTGTATATCTCACTTATACTTTTGATACAAACTTTTATAGAATTAATACACGTTTTCTCCAAAAGATGTAAAATTTTTGAAACCTTAAAACAAAACGAAATCTAAAATTGAAATGTTTTTTTTTTTCAAAATGAAAAAAAATATAATGTCAATATTTTTTCATTTTACACAAATTTTTATCCATTATATGATGATAATGAAGAGATGAAAAACATCAGACGTTAACGGAATTATTTAAGTGGTGGTTGTTGTTATTACTGATAATGACATAATATGACCAAAAATTATTAGTGGAAAATTCTTGATTTGAATTAATTTTTTAAATCCTGGTGATTTAAGATTGGATGTGTAATTATCTGAGTATAATACCCACGTTTATGAACCAATTTATTTAAGATATGCATAGAAACTATATATTAGTTCAGAAGTATGATTACTTTTGATGCTATAAATTTCCCCCCATTGTGTCACGCCAATTTTTATATGAATGGTGCGTATTTGTCACCAAGTTACTCAGACAAATTTTGAAGTTAGAATCTGTAACCCTTCTTAATATATAAGCATAGAAATGTAATATTATTTCAGATGTACGATTACTTTCGATGTTATAACTCTATATCCACGCGGAATTTTTAAAGTGTGTATAGTCTATGTTATTTCCCTGGGATTGTACGGCTTGCGGTGAAAATCTCAGTAAAGTCGCTTTAACGGCTTTTGAGTCTAGAAGCGAAACATTTTTTATTTCCTTCATGTAAATTATTTAAGTGCAACGGAGAGTGCATTTTCCCCCAATCGTTCCACGCTCAAGTTTGTATGGATGACGTGTATTAACACCTACGTCATTCAGACAAATTTTAAAGACGGTACATGTAACGGTTCTTAAGATATGCGCATATTACATGTTCACAAATTTTGAGGTATGTTTACTATTGATGCTATAACTCTGCATCCACGCGGAATTTTAGAAATTTATATAGCCTATGTTACTTTCAGGGCATGTCATGACATACTATGTAAATCTCATTAACATCTGTTCAGCGGTTTTTGCGTCTATCGGTAACATACAAACAAACAAACAATTTTTTTCTATTTTATATATAGATTATAGATTCTAACTCTGAACATATATTCTCCAATTTAAATGGGTTTAATTTTTAGCCAAATAAGTGACATGTGCCAAATTTCATTCAATTCAGATCATAAATGCGACCTGTACTTTGTTAAAAATACAACATGGACATGCAGACCGACTGACGCACATTCAAAATACGGCTCAGTAAATGATTCTACCTCGTTTCGTTTTGCATGTTGCAAACATATACACAAAGGCATAATAGCCTGTACCACAGTGTGGTAAAGGGTATAATAACGGACAGCCGATTCATTCACTTGAAGCCGTCCACCGTTAGCAATTGATGCGACAATGGTGTTCACTACCAATACTACCAACTCACACCACATCACAATATTTTCGTAAGCATTGTGACACTACGAATGTGAATTTGTGGATCAAAACTTATACATGTTGTTATTAAAAACAACATCAAAGAAAATTCGAACGAATGCAAATTGAGAAAGTTGGGAATTTTAATGGAAGGGAGGAATATGTTATATCACTAAGAGGAATATGCTACCACAATAAGCTGGTATCATTATTACTTTCATGTGACCTTCTATTTTCAATTAACTACAATTGAAGCGGTTCAACTTTATTTTTATTCAATTTTAATTACAATAGTGTAAACACGTTTTATTGATCTTATGATTTCCATATTTAAATGCAACTCTGTTTTAAACATTTGAAATTAACGGCTAACTTTGTAAATATTTTGTAAATAGTACCAAAACATACATCACTGATATTACTACATGTTTACACAACTCATACTAGATTAGAATCTCGCTTCTCAAATGTAGTACTTAAGCAAACCCAAATTTCAATAAAGTCACTCTGATTCCTTTAGCGAACACTGAAGGCTTAAGATCACTACCCACGCTTGCCCAAGTTGATGGAATAGATCATAAGCTCAAAGAAATTCCCAAATAAGGAAGGAGTAAAAAGTTAATATTGTTGTTTCGTATGAAGCCATATCAGCT